GGTCAAATGTTTCAATCTTAAATGAAATTAATCCTGGTAGATCCCTAGAATCCCAAATATGTAAATAAAGACTGACCTAATTCAGACATATAATGAGAACAAATGGTTTATAACAGATGTTGATGTTGGAAAAAATTGAAGGAAGAGAGGAAATCCTCCAATGAGCTGGATAGAAGGGATCAAGAAAGCTACTGTAAGGTCACTAAATGAGCTGCAAGTAATGCTCACTAAAAGATCAAATTGGAGAATATTTGTCACCATAGTGTCATCAAAAGTTAAACTTGACCTGATGGACTCACCACAATTCTTGTTTTAAAATTTGTAATTATTGATGACATCTTTAATAAAAAGACATATATTGGATTAAAAAAAATCATTTATTTTACCAATATTTCAGTTGGCTGAACTCCAACCTTTATCAAGGTATTAAAATACATATTAATGTGTGTCTTTAATACATGTGAGTGATGAATTTTAACCAAAAACAGTACAGGTACCAATGTTACCATTGTTAAACCACTTTTGTGAGGGTATGTTCTCACAGAAATAAAAATTGAGTTATAATATTTGATCTTGAAGTAGCTTCATCTCTCTTCTCTATAAGGAACTGCTGAGTCTTCCTGTTAACATCCATTCCAAAACTTTATATGTAATTCTACTGTCTTATTTTGTTGTATTATAATCTATAATCCAAATTGTGCTTTATCATTCAACTGTCCTATAAGCTTATGTCCATATAGTTTGCTTAAATACACACACACAAAAGCCTTTATTAAGACACACAGGTCTTACAGAGGATTCTCCTTGGGGTTACAAGACGGAGATACCTATAGTTTGCTTAAATACCATTTCTAAGATTCCACCCTTCAGTGTAGCATATATAAGCAGAGTCGTCCAATACAGTATTAGAGTTCTGATGAGCAGTCTGGTAGATTAAATTGGCGAAACTGCTGGGAGATTTCACTACTGATAATATGAACATATGTATACATATGGTGTACTTAACAATACAAGCTGTTACTACCCACAATGTTCTGGAACATATGTAGACATATGGTGTACTTAACAATACAAGCTGTTACTACCCACAATGTTCTGGAACATATGTAGACATATGGTGTACTTAACAATACAAGCTGTCACTACCCACAATGTCCTGGAACATATGTAGACATATGGTGTACTTAACAATACAAGCTGTTACTACCCACAATGTTCTGGAACATATGTAGACATATGGTGTACTTAACAATACAAGCTGTCACTACCCACAATGTCTTGGAACATATGTAGACATATGGTGTACTTAACAATACAAGCTGTCACTACCCACACTGTCTTGGAACATATGTAGACATATGGTGTACTTAACAATACAAGCTGTCACTACCCACAATGTCCTAGAACATATGTAGACATATGGTGTACTTAACATAACAAGCTGTCACTACCCACAATGTCCTAGAACATATGTAGACATATGGTGTACTTAACAATACAAGCTGTCACTACCCACAATGTCCTGGAACATATGTAGACATATGGTGTACTTAACAATACAAGCTGTCACTACCCACAATGTCTTGGAACATATGTAGACATATGGTGTACTTAACATAACAAGCTGTCACTACCCACAATGTCCTAGAACATATGTAGACATATGGTGTACTTAACAATACAAGCTGTCACTACCCACAATGTCCTGGAACATATGTAGACATATGGTGTACTTAACAATACAAGCTGTCACTACCCACAATGTCTTGGAACATATGTAGACATATGGTGTACTTAACATAACAAGCTGTCACTACCCACAATGTCCTAGAACATATGTAGACATATGGTGTACTTAACAATACAAGCTGTCACTACCCACAATGTCCTGGAACATATGTAGACATATGGTGTACTTAACAATACAAGCTGTCACTACCCACAATGTTCTGGAACATATGTAGACATATGGTGTACTTAACAATACAAGCTGTCACTACCCACAATGTCCTGGAACATATGTAGACATATGGTGTACTTAACAATACAAGCTGTCACTACCCACAATGTCTTGGAACATATGTAGACATATGGTGTACTTAACAATACAAGCTGTCACTACCCACAATGTCTTGGAACATATGTAGACATATGGTGTACTTAACAATACAAGCTGTCACTACCCACAATGTCTTGGAACATATGTAGACATATGGTGTACTTAACATAACAAGCTGTCACTACCCACAATGTCCTGGAACATATGTAGACATATGGTGTACTTAACAATACAAGCTGTCACTACCCACAATGTCCTGGAACATATGTAGACATATGGTGTACTTAACATAACAAGCTGTCACTACCCGCAATGTCCTAGAACATATGTAGACATATGGTGTACTTAACAATACAAGCTGTCACTACCCGCAATGTCCTAGAACATATGTAGACATATGGTGTACTTAACAATACAAGCTGTCACTACCCGCAATGTCCTAGAACATATGTAGACATATGGTGTACTTAACAATACAAGCTGTCACTACCCGCAATGTCCTAGAACATATGTAGACATATGGTGTACTTAACAATACAAGCTGTCACTACCCGCAATGTCCTGGAACATATGTAGACATATGGTGTACTTAACAATACAAGCTGTCACTACCCACAATGTCTTGGAACATATGTAGACATATGGTGTACTTAACAATACAAGCTGTCACTACCCACAATGTCCTAGAACATATGTAGACATATGGTGTACTTAACAATACAAGCTGTCACTACCCACAATGTCCTGGAACATATGTAGACATATGGTGTACTTAACAATACAAGCTGTCACTACCCACAATGTCTTGGAACATATGTAGACATATGGTGTACTTAACAATACAAGCTGTCACTACCCACAATGTCTTGGAACATATGTAGACATATGGTGTACTTAACAATACAAGCTGTCACTACCCACAATGTCTTGGAACATATGTAGACATATGGTGTACTTAACAATACAAGCTGTCACTACCCACAATGTCTTGGAACATATGTAGACATATGGTGTACTTAACATAACAAGCTGTCACTACCCACAATGTCCTGGAACATATGTAGACATATGGTGTACTTAACAATACAAGCTGTCACTACCCACAATGTCTTGGAACATATGTAGACATATGGTGTACTTAACATAACAAGCTGTCACTACCCACAATGTCCTAGAACATATGTAGACATATGGTGTACTTAACAATACAAGCTGTCACTACCCACAATGTCCTGGAACATATGTAGACATATGGTGTACTTAACAATACAAGCTGTCACTACCCACAATGTCCTAGAACGTATGTAGACATATGGTGTACTTAACAATACAAGCTGTCACTACCCACAATGTCCTAGAACGTATGTAGACATATGGTGTACTTAACAATACAAG